GACATTCCTGCATCTCTTCTTCTTCTTCTTCTCTTTTCTGCTACTTCGGCTACAGTAATTTAGCTTTCAAGGGTTATTGTTGATTTGACCCCATTTCCAAAAAGTACTTTGTATCCATGGATGTTTCTTTCTTTGAAGATGTGCCTTTCTTTCCTACTTCTCCTCAGGGGGAGAGTCCAAGTGATGAGAAATAGAGACAGGTTTTGTTGCCTTCTCCTCCTAACCCTCCTTCATTTCAGTCTTTCGTAGACAACGGTACAAAAGTCAAGGCCGGAGTCAACAAAGTTCAATAGACACAGAGCATCCTAAAGCTGTGCAACCTATGCCATCGGACTCTCACAAGTTGAATCCATCACCGCATCCAAGTACTATTGTTCTAGTTAATATTCTTGAACCCATTGATATTGATGCTTCTAATTGTGATCTGGATCTTCCTATTGCTAAGGGGAAGGGTGTCAAATCATGCACCACACACCACCCAATGGCTCATTCCTTATCCTATGAGAATGTTTCACCCTCTTTCCGTGCTTTCCTCTCTGCTATTAACAATGTTTCCCTTCCTAAGAGTGTTATAGAAGCTTTACTTGTTCCTAAGTGGACAGATGCAATGGAGGAGATCAATGCCCTTCACAAAAATGGCACGTGGGAGTTGGTAGATCTTCCTGAGGGAAAGGAACCTATGGGGTGCAAATGGGTATTCTTTGTGAAACATAAGGCAGATGGCATAGAGGAGAGGTACAAGGCCCGGCTAGTTGCAAAAGGTTTTTCACAGGTTTATGGAGTTGATTATGCGGAAACCTTTGCACCTGTAGCAAAAATGAATTCTATTCGAGTTCTCCTTTCTTTAGCAGCAAATCTAGATTGGGAGCTTCATCAACTGGACATTAAAAATGCCTTTTTGAATAGTAACTTAGAAGAAGTGTACATGACCCAACCTCCAGGTTTTTGTGCTAAGGGAAATGAGCAAAAAGTCTACAGACTGAAGAAATCTCTGTATGACTTAAAACAGTCTCCAAGGGCCTGGTTCAATAGGTTCCACAAGGCAGTTCAATAGATGGGCTTTAAGCAGTGCCAGTTTGATCACACACTATTTGTGAAGAGAGAACAAGGAAGAATGGCAGCTTTAATTGTGTATGTTGATGACATTATTATCATTGGTGATTGGGACTCAGAGATACGGAGATTGAAGAGATTCTTGGCCACTTAGCTTGAAAGGAAGGGTTTAGGGCCTTTACGTTATTTCCTTGGAATTGAAGTTGCCCACTCTAATCAAGGTATCTTCATCTCCCAGAGGAAATATATTCTAGATCTCTTGAAAGATACAGGGAAGCTTGGAGCAAAACCTGCTGTCACTCCTATAGATGTAAACCACAGGCTTAGGGATTGCAGTGATGAGCCCATAGTAGACACAAAGCAGTATCAAAGATTGGTGGGCAAACTTCTCTACCTATCTATGAAAGACCTAACATTGTGTATGCAGTGGGAGTCTTTAGTCAGTTTATGCATGCTCCCAGGGCCATACACTTAGAAGCAGCATATAGAGTTCTTAGATATTTGAAGAAATTCCTTGGGACAGGGCTCCTATTTGGAAAACATAGGCATATGAGAGTTAAGGTTTACACTGATGCAAATTGGGCTGATTCTGTGGATGACAGAAAATCCATTAATGGCTATTGTGCCTTTGTTGGGGGAAATCTTGTTACTTGGAGGAGTAAGAAACAAAGTGTGGTGGCCAGATCAAGTGCAGAAGCTGAATACAAGGCCATTTCTTATGGTGTGGCATAACTTCTATGGATAAAGAATCTCTTGGGTGAATTGGGTTTTCCTCTCAATGACCCTATGTCACTCTATTGTGACAATAAAGCTGCCATTAGCATTGCAACCAATCCTGTTCTCCATGATAGAACTAAACATATAGAGATTGACAAACACTTCATCAGGGAAAAATTGGAAAAATAAGAAGTTTGCACTCCCTACATCAGCTCTGAGGAACAACTTGCAGACATCCTGACCAAAGGATTAAACTCCATGCGGCACTATAATCTTTGTGACAAGTTGGGGATGATTAATATCTATGCCCCAACTTGAGGGGGAGTGATGTAATCTTAGTTATGTGCTGCAAGGGCACTTTTGTCTTTTCATGTTTTATTTTTTTATATTGTCACCCTAACATATAAATACAAAGACTGGCGCCGCTAGCCATACTTTTTTTGGTCTCCAATCTTCTCTTCTCTTCTCTCTTCTTCTTCTTCTTCTCCTCTCTTCTCTACTTCACTCCTGATTGAAATCAAAGTTAAATGGCTAACAAGCAATATGACAGTTAGTGCTCCATGGGTGGGCAGATCAGCAAATGCTTTGGCTGATTTACTTCTAAACAAGGGGCTTCTCGGTATTGGGCTACTTTGTAATTTATGTCCTAGTTCGAGAAGCTGTGATCAATCTTAAAGGATAGGTCACATCTCGTGCCTCTCCTTGGGTTGCTTGTAACTCCTTAATCTTCTGATTAATAAAATTCTTTACTCGTTCATAAAAAAAATAAATAAATAAACACAACAAACCATGACTAGGTAAATCAAACTCTTAGAATGGAGTTCAAATCAGCCCCCCACAACGTCCCACAGTACATCCCCACCGTTTATTGGGAACATCTCCTGGTGATAATACCTAGAATGAAGATGTCATCATCGGGAGATATTCCTAATACATGCGGGGATGTGCTGTGGGACGTTGCGGGGGCAGTTTTGTGGGGGGCTGATTCGGTCTCCTTAGAATGGATCCCACAAACAACATAAAATGACCAAAATAATCCTACTGTCTAAAATATAAAAACATAAAAAATGTGAAAAATTCTATATTTGACAACTTCCAGCATTAACATCATATACACGATAACTTATTATAAGCTTCTTTTCACCTTCATAGTTTCAAGTACAAAAACACTTTATAGGTAGAAAGAGTTGGAAATAGCTTGGACAAGAGCATATTAAATATTACATAAGCATGTCCATTAAGATAAATGAAAGGAATCAGATCCAAGAATTAAGCATGTCTACTAATAAGTGCAGGGCTACACCATCAGGAAAGGAATCGGTTTAAGTTAATCACCTTTTGGAGCCATTATTTACATTTGAAATGCTGAATATGTCCAAAGATTTATTTGGCAAATCAGAAAAATCTAGTTGATTCCCCACATAGTTCACCGGAAGAAGAATGAATATTCCAACGATCCCAGCGAAGGAAAATACTCTTAAACTACAAAGAATAAATATGAATCTCATAGTACCAAATCATCTCTATTTAGAACAGAAAAAATACCATATAATTCTGGAAAAGAAATATGATATTAAAATCATATTAGTAGGTTAAATATATTTTTTACCTGATACTAGGTTGATGTTTAAACGGTATAATATCAAAAATGGAATTCCAGTACACGTGTTAATATTGCAATTAAGAGAAAATTTCTACCAAAGATTAAAATGTCAAACAAACTTTCTTCTAATCCAGATTAATTTCTAACTTCATGTATGGGACCTCCAAGACATCTAAATACCATATCAACATACCCAGAAAGCAGATAACAATTACAAAATGTTAGATGTATCTCAATGCTGCCCTGGGTTGATGATACCTCTACCTTACCCATGTTGTAGGCTTCTGACTCGTTTGAACACAAAAAAAAAAAAAGATTTTTCAACTTCTAACTAGATATGCTTTTCCATATGAACCTATGATACTGCATACCTGAACATGCGTATCATACCCATGTCAAGATGATATAATATTGATGCCAGAACCGAATATTATAGGGATACTTCTAGAGACAAAGCTCATTATTTTCATAATTTATTCTTAGATATGAATATGGTTCCTGATCATGTCAACTGGGACTCTGTAGACACCTCAGCCTTTTTTTTTTTTTTTGCCACATGGAAGAACTTTAAAGCCAGACATCCATCAGATAAGGAACCCCCTAGATTGGACATGAGTTAAATCCCTAATCCATATCAGCCCACATAGCGAATGCTTTAGTTAGGATTCATTCAATGGTGTCCTAATTCCTGAAACATAGAACTGGTGGCAAATTATGACCCCGGATCCCATGAAGGAAAAAACTCTGTGCACACTCTGAAAGAACAGGCATCCAGATGCACATTTGGAACATCTCCCCATGAATTTAACATACATGTACGGGAGATATTCCTGATGTGTTATTGGATTCCGTGTGTGCAGAGATTTGTTTTCAGGAGATCAAGGCCCATCCCTACATCAAGACACTCAGTAAATAAATTGCATACCTTGAATCTAAAAGGTAAATAACTAAGTTTTCAATGGATAATAGCATTGTGCCATTGGAGTGTCATATCATCTATGTCCCCTTCAGAATGTGCACTGAGACACCAACTTCACTGCTCTTATTTAGGGAATGTCTCATGTTTATTTCAGAAGCTCAAGGTCTCAGACAAGGATTCCCCCTCCTCTTCATGCATTATAGAGACTTTTAGCAGGATGACCACCAAGGACGCAGACAGTCGTTTGGTTTCACTGATGGATTTGGAGTGGGACATCTTGTCCAAAATTTTCATTACAATTCAATGACAACAGACTATTTTTTTTCTGGTGATTCACAAGATCAGTTTTTATAATCATGGTGTATATTTTGATGATTTGAAACAATTTCACACCCACACATAAATCTCCTCAAAAACGAGAAATAGGTTATAGGAGAAATAAGCAACATTAATGGCTGCACTGGGTTGTGATGTTGGGAAACTTCCATCCAAATACTTGGGCGTTCTTACTGTTCCTGGTGCAAGGTGTATATATCAGAAACTATATGGGACCTTATAGAAAGGAAGCCAAGCTGGAAAAGTGGAAATGAGATACATATTCAAAGGAAGTAACTTCACCATTACAAGAGAGCTTTGGTCAATCTTTCCTCATTCTTTTTTCTCATTCCAGTCAAAAGTTTCCCACCATATGGAGAAACTTCAACTATACTTCCTTGCAAATGCTGGAAGGACTAATTCAAATATCATTTGGTAGAATAAAAAACCATAGTTCCCCTTTTGTAGATGGTGGATTGGGATTGAGGCACTTGCAGAAAGTGAACATGTTTCTTTTAGGAAAATGGTAGGACAGATTTGATGAACAACTGAACTCACCTTGGAAGCAACTTAGTTTTACAAAATATGGTTCTAGAGACTTGGATTGGAAACCCATGGAGGTGAGTACAATGTATTATTGTGTTTTTGGGAGAGATATTGAAAAACTCTAACACCTCTTTCATAAAAGGAGTCAAATATGAAGTGGGAGATAGCTCCCTTGTGCATATCTAGAGGAACATTTGTGTGACCAGAGACCATTAATGGAGCTCCACCCAACATGAGCACTTTTCTGAAACCGAACCAGTCCTACTAGTTTTTACATTTCTCTGAACCAAAACCAAACCGGTACCACTGGTTGACCGGTTTCGGTTCTTTGGTTGAATGGTCACAATTGCTGAATGTAATATCATTAAAACAAAATCTATAATCAGTAATTTTTACTCAAAAGTTTTGAAACAATTCTGTAATCTATAAAATTTAAATTTTTATTTCAAACATTTTGAAATGATCTATAATTTATTCAGAACAAATGAAAACCTATGGTCAAGAAGAAAACGGTACATGAGAGCTCTATGGTCAAGAGAAAACCTAAGCAAGAAAAGAACAATGACGGCGAGAAAAGAACGGCAACGTCAACTTGGTTGTTGCAGAGAGTGAGAGTTGAAAGAGGAGAGAACAGCAGCAACTTGACAAATGGCAAGGTGAGTTAGGCGACAGCAAGAGAAGAGAAGTGAGAAGAAAATGTCGACTGTTGAAGTGTCGAGTGAGGGTTTAGGATTTTAGGGCTGGCCGACTGGGGGTTTGAGGAACAGATTTCCTCATTCACCCCTAAGAAATTTTATCTATTCCATTAATGTATAAAAGTATATAATATAAAATATATAAAATATATTTATATTTATAAATATATCAGACTCGAATTTTTATCAGATGGGGGTGAATCCAAGTTTGATCCGATTTTTAACCGGATTCTACTTCTGCCATCCAAATCCAATCTGATATGACATTTACCTCATCCAAATCTGAGATTATCAGATCGGGTTGCGGGTTTACGGGTATCATTGACAGGCCTAGGGAGTGGGGTATGATAAAACTCAGATTAGATGTTCATATATGTTCAGATCAGAAGAAAGAGAAGGAAAAGAGAGAGGAGAAGGAGAAAAGTCACAGCCGAACTAGCAAGTAAAATCTAAAAACCTCTATTCGGCCCTTCTTTTATTTATACTCTTCTAAGATATACAAGGATTACCATCATGCCCTCACTTAAGTGAGAGCCACATCAGCAGAGCAGTACATAATATAACTAAACATAAAAGGACTGTACTACCCTTGTACAGCCGACTCTAACACTCCCCCTCAAGCTGGTGAGTATACGTCATATAGTCCCATCTTGTTACATATGTAGTCCACTCTTCCCCGATTCAACCCTTTGGTAAACAGGTCTGCCCATTGATTTCCTGTGTTCACATATGCTGTACTTATCACTCCACTAAGCACCTTCTCA